GGGGGTGTAATTAATTTCTGTTAGTCAATAAAGATCATTTTCGTTCTTTCAATTCTTCCTAGTTGAAATCTATATTCAGTTCTTATCAACTTGCTCCCAATACAAACAATGTATCATCGGCGAACTAAAGGTGTGACACCGAAACCACCTCTCTACCAATTAAAAATCCCTCCACCACCCTGACTCGATCGCTTTGTCCATTAGTCTTCCAAGCACATCTGCAGCTAAGGTAAAAAGAAAAGGAGATGGTAGATCTCCTTGTTTTAAAAACCCCTTGAAGCGCCAAATTTCCCTCTAGGTCTGCCATTGATCATTATCGAATAATTGGCCAATAATAAGCATCCTGCCTTTCTTCTCCAGCACCTCGTCTAGAAACCTCCATCCCACATGATCATAGGCCTTTTGGAAATCCACTTGAACACCAATCCCCTTTTCTTCTTTGACCGATACTCCTCGACTGCCTCATTTGTGACTAGCACCATGACTAAAATTTGCCTATCCTTCACAAACGCATCTTGTGACGTCGAAATTGTTTCACTCTGCACCTCTCTCAATCTGTTTACCAAAACTTTCAGTATTATCTTACATATACATATACTCATCACTAGATTTATTGGCCTATAGTCCTTCAATCTCCTTGAGTCAGTCTTATTCGGAATAAGACAGAGATAAGTATGATTGATAGCAGAATTAATCATACAATTCCTAAAAAATTCCTTAAAGACTCTAAGCAAATCTCCTTTCACCACGCTCCAACACTCCTGGAAGAATCCTACAGAAAGCCGATCTGGTCCTGGCAATTTATCCCTGTCACTACTGAAGACTGCCAATTTAACTTCCTCCTCTTCAAAAGGTCTCTCAAGCCACCGAGCCTTGTCTTCCAAAATCACCCTCCAATTTATGCCCTCAAAAGACAACGAACCAACCTCCTCTTCTTTGAATAACTTCTTATAGAACGAGATAATCTCTCATTCAATCTCCTCTTTATCCTCCAAAACCGAATCATCATCCCTGTCCAGCCTTAAAATTTCACTCTTATTCCGCCTGTTGTTTAATAGCTTGTAAATTAGTTTAGTGTTTGCGTCCCACTCCTTAATCCTCCTAAACTTCATTTTTTGTTTCCATGCCACCATCTCCTTGAAAATTATGTCTTCCAGCCTGTTTCTTAAGACTCTTCTTTCCTCCCTTTCACATGCCTTCAAAGAATTATCCTCCTCATTGCTGTCCAGCATTTCAATCTCCCCAGAATCTCACTTTTTTGCTAAATTTGTATCTCCAAATGACTCCCTATTCCAAATCTTAATTTTTTTCCTTCAAGCCCTTCAATTTCTCTATAATTTTGAAACCTTCCCAACCAGCTGGATTCAAATTTTCCCACCAAGATTTGCATTCCTTCCTGAAGCTCGGATGACCCAACCACATGTTTTCAAGTCAAAAAGGGGTTGGGCCCCATTTAATCGGTTCGGTGTCCAATATCAAAGGAAAGTGATCCAAACAAGCTCTCACACCCATCTCTTGTCTAACCTCGTTGAACATGTTTTCCCATCCACTCGTGACTAGAAATCTATCAATCCTGCTTTTAGCCACGTCTTCTCTAAAATTTGACCATGTAAACTTGGAGTTGGATAACACTTAATTCCTCAAATCCGCCTCCCTTATGAGTTCATCAAACGCCTTCATATTTCTTGTTAACCTTCCATTCGGAAACTTCTCATGACTAAATCTTGTAATGTCGAAATCCCCTCCCACACACCAATTCGGTTCACACATGCAATTCAGCCCCACCAATTCACCCAAAACAAGGCTCTTTCTTTATAATAGTTGCACCTCGGTTAACCACCAAGAAGAATTCCCTTTCTCTATTTTGGTTGGCACCAAGAATTGTCCAATCAAACTTTCACTAACTTGTATTGCCCTATTGTCCCAAATTACTACAATGCCTCCCGACCTGCCTATCGAAGGAAGAGCTGTCCAACTACGATATCTTCTCTCCACAAACTCCCAATAATCCTTTCATCCAAAACTTCCTTTTTGGTCTACTGCAAAACTACTAAGTCCGGCTTCAGTCTAGTCAAAGTCTCCTTTATCACACCTCTTTTCTTGGCCGAACCTATTCCCCTCACATTCCATGAGACAATCTTCATTTATAACTTCTGTTAGGTCATAGCCTCTCAATTAAGCTTTTGAGATGGATGGTATGTTTTGAAACTTGTGATGGTAATCTATGGTTTCTTGGGCTTCTCATTAAATTAGCATGACCAAATTTATGCATCCCCTACATTCCAAAATAGGCCAAGTTCAAATAACTTGGCTTTTGGAATGAGTGGTGAACATTTTCAAAATCATCCTGCTATTTATTAATTGGATGTAAGTTTAAAATTACTGCAGTTTTTCTTGTCTTGGGCCAGAAAAGTTAACATACAAGTAAATGATTTATTTATGGGATGAACACGTTCAAATGGTGTTCTCCAATATATATTTCCTTGAGCCACTTGTGCACCTTTTGACACCTTTGCTAAATGTAGAAAAATCAGGACTTCGATAGAAAGATCCCTAGATTATAGGAGTAGACGTATCTATAGGAATTAGTTACAGTTGTTTAGATTTTATATTCTTGGTATTACTAGTGTATATAAAAAGCTGAACATACCTAATGTAATCAATTAAGTTCCAATATTAAAAGCAGTGTTCTGGCGTGTTTCCTTCCTCATACTTGTTTACATGGTATCAGAGCCAAACTAAATTAAGTGTGAGTTGAGGAAAACAATGGCCGATAATGGA